CCCCTCCCCCCCACCCCGCTGGCGCCATCCCTGGCACACAAGTCAGCCAAAACAAAACAAGGTAAAAAATAGACTAAAGCGGACCAATACGATTTACGATCATATCCTTTAATTTCTTTTTCTAATTTTTACACCAAAGAGTTATGGGAGCGAAGAGTGAAAACAACAACATACCAATTTTTGTAGCTGTATACTCAACTGCACACACAACGGATGAAAAAATATTAATAAGAGATGAGATATTTCTGTATAGGCCTACTTAATTGCACACACTGTTATATGATATTACAGTAGTTTAACCTGTAACACACACAACTGATGAACAAATATTATATAAGAGATGATATATTTATTTATCATTTAATTAAAAACAAATTGCTAAAAAAAGTACAGGCTATAACTACTAAATAGATGCCGAACCAATTTTGGCTTATGTGAACTACATTTGGCAGGTAATTTTAAAGTCAAAATCGGTCTGGCGGACAGATTTTGGCCACGGACCAAATTTTTCCTGACAGGCCTATTCATGCCAACGGGGACTTGGCCTGTTCTACGGTGGCGTTCAGCATTCCTACCACCCACTGCTGGTACTGCTGTTATACTGCAATGTACGATATTTATGTACTGCTATTTAAGTTCTTTGGTTCGATCCAATGTATTGACACGAGCACTGAAAGCTCTCGTAGTTTTGATTGCACGATGATTGTGCAATAACCATGTGTGTGTACACAGCACGATGCTATTTACCACACCGTAGATGGATCGATAAATAAAATTGATATTGCGATTGGTTGGTGCAATAATTATAGATAAGCCCTACAACCGGGTCGCAAGGACAAGTCTTGTATGTAATGTATTTTGTTTAGTGGACATAAAAATATAGTTTTGGCTTTGGTCATTTGTCTAATTGTCTTTATCGAAATCAGAAACTTATTGAGGTAGGTATGCCTGACATACTATACTGTATTCTGATAACAGTAATTCTACCCTAGGCCTACAAAAAGCCTGACCTAACTAACTGAGGCTACTAATTATGCCTAGGCTTAGGCTAGACCTACAGCCTGTTTACAAGAGTAAGGCCTAGGCTAGTCGGCCCTAGAGAAACATCACTGTGTTGACTGGACTTCTGGCTACTCGCGTGCCTATTTTCCCAGCAATTTTTCGCGAAAATTTGAGCTTATTTTAATTTACAGTATGGCTTTCATGTTCATAAATATTTAGGCCTATATCTTATAATAATTTTAAAAGAATTTTTTATATTTTAAATTCCTTTCTTTTCAATTTTTATTTATTTATTTTTACTGAATTATTATTCTTATTTTATTTATTTATTTTTATTTTTGTTTTTTTTGTGTGCTGCTTTTGATTATTTCTACCTTTTATTGTTTCATGTGAATGATTTTATTTTGTATTGTTTTTGTTGGCAGGGGTTCGGTTAAGCACATCAATCGATGACAGTTTTCTAACATTTACTTTTCCTGTTCAACTTTTTCTGTTGTTTGTCGAAAGATTGAAAATAAAATAAATAAATAAAATAAATAATTTTATGTATACAGTACATAATATACAAATGAGTTTCACTTTGTGAATGGATAAAAGTTGTCATATTTGTGATATTCTAATACAGTATAGTCTTCTTATTAAATATTATTATTATTAATGTCATGACTGAGCTGGTAATTAATTTATGTGGCCAAGCAGATATCATGTTTTTTGTTTTATGTCTGAAGCGTCAAATGAGACTTTCAAACTATTAAAGACTTACAAAGTATTACAATTTTTTTTGCAGATTATTAACAATGGTTGAGAAAGGAGAAAGTGTTGACATTCATTCTAAAGTGTCTGTACAGGAACATTCTAATGAAGAAGAAGGGCAGGAGGAAAACCCTAAATTTACAAAGCGTCAGATACTAACATTCATTAGCCTCTCATTGGCAAATTTCTTTGACTGTTCTTCTTTTTCATTAATTGCACCTATCTACCCAAAAGAGGTTTGATCTTTAATTATTTACTGATAAGGCAGAATTTTTTAATACCTTGTTTAGCGAAACCTACTGACCGCCAAATAATAGTGATTTCAAATTTAAAAATAACATTTTATTTTTTATCAATTAGCACACCCTTCATCATAAAAATTGGAAATTTAAGAAAAAATGTTATTTAATTATTTTTATTATGCTCCCACTCCCGTGAAATCTTTAAAAGAAAGATGAATAAATTTATAGCATTTTATCAATCTCATTACAATACTGTTTACATTCATTCAATGTATATTTTTATTTTCTCCTCCACTTTTTAGTAGCTTTTGGCAAAATAATTTAACTAAATTAGAAAACAGTTTTTTTTTCCACATTCCTCTGACGAAATTTAAACATATAAGTTCGCTAAAAAAGGATTAAAAAAGTCTTACCTTGTATATTATATTTGATTGCTAATTTTTGTTTTCCACTGGGCAGAAGGCCCAAGTTTCGAATCCTAATTGGGGCAACTATTTTTACTCTCAGTCGCAGATTCCTGTTCTTTAATGTTGAGAATTTATATATCTTTAAATTAAAGCATACCGGAAGATGGTTTAGAGTTTTTCTCTATATCATAAGATTTATGTACGTATATTATTATTATTATTAGCCATTCTTTGACAGAATATTTGGCTACCAGTGATTAGTGTGCTATTTTATTACTGTCTCTTATACACATCTAGATGTGTATAAGAGACAGATAACATGGCCTAAAAAAAAAAAGGAAGACTTCTGTTGTAAATCCATATTGTGAATGATGTTTCTTCTGTGTTTCCTCGCAGCAAGCTAGTCAAATCATGACAATGGAGAACCGTAATCTCTTCTCTCTTCACTGGTAATTAAGTCAAAAGCAAGTTGGCATACTATAAAGGATTAATGATATTAAATAAATGTGGGCCTATAAAAACTATAGGCCCACATTATATTTTTTTCATAGCCACTGCCTGTTCTTGGTTTCAGTTATGCCTTATGTTTAGATAATCCATTAACCATGGATGAATTAATTCCTCCATTCATTAACTATAGTAATGCTTTCCCACAGTCCACACCACTTGTCCATTTATTTTTCACCCTATCACTGTTTACTTGAACATATATCAATAACCCTTTATAGCATGAACCTATATAGTATGCCGACTTGCTTTTGACTTAACTACCGTATTGTTTCTCAAATTGTATATTACCAAGAAACTTTCTCCACATGTTTATTTTATGTCAAGCGTTGACAAACACTACAGGAGTAGCCGAAATATTCGCCAAATAAATTTTAGTGTTTCTAAAGTCAACATCTTACGTATTTGAGTTTCATAACTGTTACGCTATATTATATTCTACATACATTAATGATATAAACAATGCTGTCAGAAACAATGGCTGGATCTTGTTTAGTGTACACAAATTTGATAAGCTTCAGCTAAAATGTAAACACAAGTAAACAGCCAGAAATGGAAGCAGGGCACTAGTCCTTCATTTTTGGAATTGTACAAAAAATAATTGAACGAATGAATAATTTATCAGTCTTTACTTGCAGGCCGAGGATAATGGAGTCGGATCAACAGTAATAGGCTTGATATTTGGATCCTTCTCCTTTGTAATGTTCATCGTTTCACCAATTTGTGGAAAAATTGTAAGTCAGTTATTAAATTCCTTATTTTTCTACTGTATACAGTATCCATAGTACTATAAAATGTAAAATCAATAAGAATACCATGTACAGTACAATCATTGGATATTGGCTTCTGGAACAAAAATTTATTAAAATATAATAAAATAAAACCAGATATTTCCATATCTCCTGCTATTTTTATTATCGTTAAAGTAAACTCGGAAGATCTATCTATAGTATAAAAAATGTTATTAACCAATCAGAACTGAGTAAAATCAATCAATTGATTGTATATTTTACTCGGTTCTGATTGATTTGTATACAATCAATTGATTGGATTACAAAATATAAGTTAATTAATTACAAGTAAACAATGATAAGATGTTATTAAAGAAATTAGAGATGAATATGTTAGCAGTAGTTTATCTGTGGGGTTATTGAGCCAGCTAATAATAATAATAAGTCCATTCTTTTACTGCGCATTCTGCAAAGAACCTCAATGCGCTTTACAACAAAAAAAAACAAGTAGTAAATAAGTTTCTCTAAAACTACTTCAACTAAAAATTGTTCCGAAATTTACGAGCATTATCGGCGTAAAGAACAGGGCTCCCCCGACGACTGATGTCGAAACAACATTGCTGTCACACCCGAGTGTACGCAGGCACTCCGTAAGGCAGTATGCTGGGCTCCTATAGATAAATGGTAAGACTTTAATTAGGAGCCAATAATTATCCTACTGCGAGTTAAATATTGCAATACTTATGTAGTTATTCTCCCTGCAAAAAGAGACCATGTATGGTGTAGTGTATATTCAAGATTAGAGCTTTGCAAGAGAGGCACTTACTCAATGGTTGACAATATTATTATACAGCATTGCATGTATACAGTACAGTAGTTGCATCATGTTGGAGAATAATGTGTTGTTGGGTTGTGATAATTACAGTATATATGTTTCTTCGTCTGTTCCATAGTTGCCAAAGGTTGGAGCCAAGTTCATGTTTTTATCTGGTGAATTTCTGTGTGCTGGGGCGAATATTATATTTGGGTAAGAATATTTTGTTTAATCTTGTTTGGTCCAAATTCATAATAGGGTATTTAAATAAATAAAAACTAATTATGCTTAAGTATCATAATCATATTATGAGCTTTAATTAGGTGTATTAATTACAAAAAAATAATATAAAATCCAAATTGCATTTTCTTAACCTTAAATCACTATTAATTTATAAAGGTTTTAAGCATTTATACCATTTTGCCACTAAATTTTTAAAATTTCAATGCATAAACAATGTTATGTATTGAAATAAGGGCTACACACTTACCTATTCTGAAAATGTTTCCCTCCACAATCCACCTCTTCATGGTCAACATTTTCCATATGTTGGGTTCCAATTACTGTGTAATAAAATTTGTGTACCACACGATGAGGAAAACTTCTTCTTCTTTTTTTTTTTTTTTCAAAAAATATGTCTAAACTCTTAAGCGTCGGAGTTTCTGGTTAAACGGATGATGCGAGTCGACCACTTTTAATAGAATAAAAAGTATAATTTCAAATTGCCAAAAAAACCTTTCAAATAAACCTATCTTTAGAGGAAAGAGTTTCACCCAGATGTACTGTATAATGATTTCCTGTGAGTTTAACTCTAATAATAATTTGGCCCATCAAACAAAAAATTAATTAATTAATAAGGTTGTTGTGCGAAAAAGTACCTGATTTATTCGTCACCGCGAAGGTATCACGGACCCGCGATGAAAATTGAATTTTGCTTGAAAATTATTTTCGTAAAACAAGGTTAATTAGAACCCGGAGAAAGTTTCTTCAATTTTAACATTAAGTATGAACAATTAAAGAATTCCTTGAATCAATGGAAACTCATATACTAAACAAACTGAACGTTTAATAGGAATATTGTAGACCTACTGTATTTTAAAGACTAAGGAATGAATTTAGGTGTAGACCTACGGCTAGGTAGGCAACGAGGGCGGCGAAGCCTCTTCCCTAGGTCGTAGCCCAGCATACTGTAGTTATGAATTATCGCACAATTTTACCTGTCAGCACCAATCAGACAAAAAACGTGATTACTTTATCACAACTAGCAAATCATTCTCAAACACGCAGATGTACATACCCAGTTGATATATTAATACTGAGCAATCGGTGACGCAATACAGCCTAATATACATAGTTATTTCAGACCTTATAGAGAATAGAAGGCTTAGGAGCCATTATTTCCTTTAAAACTCGTCCTGCAGGATTTATGCAAATTTTTCAGGAAATAATGGTTCCTTAGAACTTGACACAATGTTTATTATTATTTTTTTTCTAGATTCCTCAACAAAATGGATAATAAGACGCAGTTTGTAGTCTTTAGTTTTGTGGTGCGAGGCGTGGGCGCTGCAGGAGCAGCTGCAGCCGTGACGGCCATGTTCGCAATCATTGCAAATACATTCCCTGGCAATGTTGCTAAAATGATTGTAAGTTTTTTTTTTTATCAGCACCATTATTATTTATTATTAAATTGAAATCGGTGTGTTTCACATTCTTCTGCTTAAAGTGGGTTATGTCACTCTTAAAGTGAGTGGAGGTGGAAGTAGTTTTCTCGGATAAGGACTATAAACCGTAGGCCCAGTGTGTAGGCTCATGTGCACTACTGTGTAATGAACCCAGTACATCTTTTGAGATGAGTAGGGGTTGGTTTACTAGTGACCAACAGACCCTGGTGGACAGATGAGAGTAGCTGGTACCCGATGTTTTACTTTTGCCCCAGTCAGTTTGTTAGCAAAAACTATAACATGGGTCATTATAAAATTTGTTGAATAGTACACAATAATCCTAGAAAGAAACTATTAACTTTTGGGAAGAAAACGTCAAAGGACAAGGTTAACATCGTGGAAATATTGTTTTCCCCATGAGCATAAAAGAAAGAATAATAGAATCTCCCATCACACACTGTGCATATTGTTTAGTATTGAGGAACAGGACGGAAAATTCAGTATTCAGGCGCTATTAATTGTAGTTATTAATTGTTTCACTATTATAATACTATTTTCAGAAAGCCACAATACTCTATTTTGTATAACATCAATGCATATAGAAAAAAATTATGTTTTTCTCAATTTTTTTTTTTTTTCCCAAATGTTTTAAATAGGGAATGCTGGAGGTATTCTCAGGACTTGGATTCATGCTAGGACCACTTATAGGAGGTGTACTTGACCAGGTACAGTAACCACAAGTTTCAGTTGATCAGTTACGCATTTGATCTTCATTTACACATTTGATCTTCAGTTACACATTTGATGTTCAGTTATATATTTTATCTTCAGTTACACATTTGATCTTCAGTTACGCATTTAATCTTCAGTTTTACATTTTATCTTCAGTTATGCAATTGCTGTTTTAAATATCATGGAAACTAATGTTGGTTTTCATTGTTTGGAAGCCACTCATTTCTGTGGGGCTTGTTGAGATGGGTGACTTCCACTCCCAATGGATTAAAAAACGATTAATTTAACGGCGGGCACTCAATGCGCCCCACCACGACGCGCGCAACCGATCATTTTTAATGCCAATCCCTTCAGGTTGCCACCAACAATCAGTAGACGGCGTTGCGTCATCTAACACTCTCAGGGAGCAGAATTAGATTCGTCAGCCAAATGTCATATGATAATCGTGTGAGTACCCAGCATAAGCACCACATTTAGTAAGACAAAGATTATCATCATTAGAGACAGCAGAATGGAACCCTTTGATTATTGAGCCATTATTTTCTGATATACTATTAAGTGAATGGTCTATGGCTCTTTCAGCCATGAGTTGGGCGATTGAGACAACACTGTCATAGGGGGTCCGGGGCATGCCCCCGCGAAATTTTTGTGTTCTAGACGCCCGAACATAACATTTGAGGAATTTTGGGCTATCGTTTTTTTCTCTTTCTCTCTTTTTTTCCCTCTTTTTTTTACCTCCCAAAAAGGGGGCGGGGCGGGGCCTGGCTGTCCCCCCCCCATATCCGCCCCTGCTTATTTAATAGTTACTGTAACAGATTTATGTCAGAAAAACTAACATCTACAGGGCAAGAAACTGACTAAATAAAAGTATCACTTCATATATCCCCTACCTGCGTCTCCTCTATTTCAAATTCCTTGATCCCCACTGTTGTTTATTTTGCTGATCATAGTGGTCGCTCAAAGTTGTAATTAAGCAAAAAATGGTATTATTGTTTCTATATTTGTTTTTTCTACTTGTTTTATTAGGCTGGAGGGTTCAGCCTACCGTTTCTAGCTGTTGGAGTTGCTGTTATTGCCATCATTATTATCAATGTATTCCTGTTACCGAATGATGATGGTAAATATACTAATAAGCGTCATGTAAATTGATGTTGGCTTAAACTGTCATTTGTATTGTATATAAATTTTAAAGATGGTTGTTACATTTTTTGTTTAAATTTGTATTTTTTTTCTGTAATTTTTCTCACTTTTCATATTTCACAATTGGTTAGTTTGAACATATCATAATTGAGGGGTGTCTCTTCAAAAGTTTGTTTCCTGTAGCATCCTATTTTACAACACTTTCTATACAATGTACAGTATTACTTTTATTGATATACTTTATCAGTAGTTTATTTTATTATATCTTGTTTTGCCAATTTTTTTTTTTTAATCATGGGGGGGGGGGGAGGAAATGTAAAAATATTTTTTTTTTGCCAAAAACATCCAGACAGAGGAGAAAAAAAAATAAAATATTATTGTTGAATGTAAACAGTATAGTAATGGGATGGTTAAATGCTTTAAGTTTATATAATTAGGAGGAAATATACATATCTTATTTTTGGAGATTTCAAGGCAGCAACAGGCATAATAAAAATAAAGAAAAACTTTAATTTTTTTTCTGAAATTGTTAATATTGGTGGGCGGCATTTTCACAAACAAGGTATTGTATAAAAAAAGCCTCGCATTATTTATATTGATGTTACTACCTCCTTGATTGGTGTTATGAAAATTGTGGATCAAAAAAAAAAACTGAGAGCAAATTAGCTTAGCTTGTAGAAGGCATTGTGTGTGCGCTAAACCCTGGAGATCCTTTGGTCTCCAGTTCAATTTCATCTGTTCCTTGTGTTTCAGCTAAAGGGCTGGAATACAAGTTACGATAATGTGGACGAGAAGCCTTTAGTCTTGTATGCAGTATGGCCCGATGTGCATGTTAAAGAATGCTGTACACAGTTCGGAAAAGAGTAGGGGATTGTCTTCCGGTGCACTGCCCAACTCATCACCAGAAGGACCGCACTGGAAACAAATTTTCAGACTTAGTGGGTTACTTGTTGGTGCAATTCACACCAACAGTACTCAACTCCTAAACATATTTTGAATTTTAAAAAAATATATATTTTGATTTATATTTTACCAAAAAATAGTCTCAAGATTATATTGTCACTCTAACATGACTCATATTTTTTAATCTTTTAGTTAAACCAAAGGAATTAGGCTCATACAGAGAATTATGGAGAATACCAGCCGTGTGGTTCACGTCCCTGGCCATTTTAACCGGTTCCCTAGCCCTTGGCTTCTTAGATCCGACACTTGCTGATCACCTCCATGATATTGACCCGAAACTGAATCCAACTCAAACCGGTGCTTGCTTCCTTCTAGTCGGCGGTGTCTACGCTCTAACCAGCCCTTTTTGGGGATGGTTAGCAGACAAAGAGGTATGTGTATGTTGTATTGTTATTACAGGTCTCCCTATGTAAGGCACCTCTAATTAAAGACCAGCTCCAAATTAGCAAATGTCTTTTATCTATTCTAATTAGAGACCAAAGCTGCTAAAGACGATGGAAATTCCGGTCCCAAAAGCGGTCTTTATAAATTGGAGAGAGATCTGTATTATTGTTGACCATTTGATTGAGTTATAGATAAACAATTAAATATACATGTATGTTAAATCTTTTTTTGTACAAAGCGATTTGGCACAGCAGAAATGGTTTAGGTTTTTTAAACTAGAGATGCATTTCGTTTGTGTCCTTGAGCAAACTGCTGGGAGTAACTTGTGATGGACTACTGCCCCATCCAGGGGAAGAATCACACTCTCATCCATTTCATGCAACATAAACTGGGGGTAAGCTCCAGCCCCTAGGGGCTTGGCAATGAGTTACTTAAATCTTTTTTGGTTTTTTCCCAGAATGCAACAAGGCCAATGATCGTTGGTGGCTTCCTGGCAGCATTTGTTTCGTATCTATTAATTGGACCATCTCCACTTATTCACTTACCAAAGTATGTACCCTTAATATTTATTAACATTATTTTCTCTAATAGCAAAGGTTGTGGTCTCAAGGTATAAATATGATAAACATCTTAATGCATTAAACATTTTTATATCAGAACTAAACTTTCATAAAATCAATTTAGAATAGATGTGAAATCCTTTTTTCTAAATGACATGTAAATATTTTTTAGTTTTTATTTTTTTAACAGTATATAGGCTACTTAAAAATTGTATAAAATTGAATGAGAATTGTCAAGTGTTAAAAAAAATCAATGTTAAAGTGAGGAGCAATAAACATTTTACTAAAGAGAAAAAAATTATTTTATCTAGGGTTTATGTAGTCAGATATATGGAACAACCCAGAACCAACCACCTTAATCCACCAGGTGAATAAATGTAGCAATAATTATTAAAATGAATCAAACAATAAATTGAAAAAAAAATACCCTAATGGGCTCAAAACTAGGGTCTTTTAAACAGTGCATCCTAATAATACAAATTCTATTGAACATATTTCTGATTTATTGATTACTGTTGTAGTTTGACATGCTATTGATGACTATTCAACTTTTTCACAGGGAATTGTGGGTAATCTGTTTGGGACTTGGTTTTCTTGGTGTTTCTATAGGCTGTGGTTTGACCCCAACCTTTCAGGATATGCTGGTTTCATCAAGGTAAGTTGACTGTTTGCTACCTTGATCAGCATGCAGGTGTTCCTCCCATAAAGACCACTTTTAGGACCAGGGTTTTCATGGTCTTTAGCAACTTTGTCTTTAATTAGAAAATTATAATAAAGATAAAAGGTAGATGTTCATTTGGGGCTTAAAAAAGGTAGTCTTTATTTGAAGGGTCTTTCATAAGAGGGATACCAGTAATTCATTTACTGCTCTATATATTTGTTATGAGCTTATACATGTCACAACCAAGGGGATGGGTCATCAAGCCTGTGTTCCATGGTCATGCGTTAGTTGTTGGTTGTGTATCCTTCACGTTCGTGATGATATACAATCTTTATGAATTGCAAGAAGATGCTCAAAAACGTAATTGAAACATTGAAAATGTTAATTAAAAATTAATGTAATAATTTATAATGATTTTTGTTGTTTTAAAGTTATTTTACTACAAAAATTCATAAATTGATTACCAACTGATTTCATTGTTTATAATACAGTATAATTGAGATCAGGCCTGGAAAAAATAAGTTAGTGCCTTTGACCATGAAAGTTTTTGTTGAAATGGCTCCAGCACATAATGTTATCTGTACACTGTATGGCCCAACAGTTTATTTTTTATTTTGTTTCACCAAAATGCCTCCAGAACATTCATGCTGCCTGAGACCACCGGCCGTGCGTTCGCGCACTTTTTCCAGTCCTGACTGAGATAGTGGCCAATAGCTATAATATACAAAATCCATGATAATGTTTTAAAATTAAATTGTAATAATATATTACAGCTTGAGACATTAATCACATGTACTGTAATTCGTTTTCAGGTGGTATGGTATGTCAGATGATCTTCCAACACATAGCCTTGTTTCTGGACATTTTAATAGTATGTTTTCAATAGGGTAAGTTTGAATTTAAAAAATCATATTTGTTTAATTTTATTTTTTATCTTCTTTAAAATTTTTCTTTTTTATCCAGTTCCAAATATTTGAGATTGAAAATGTTGGCTCAGTTAAACACTTGGTATTTACATAGTTTTTACAATTCTTCCATAAAAATTGTTGCGTTAATCATGTGAGGCAGAAGGTAGTGTAAACGAGAGCATTTGCCTCCCCCCCCCATGTTTTTTTCTTAATTAGGACATGATACATTGTAAAGTGTCACAAAACAGCTTGAAAAGATCCAAACTTGCCCAGTTTTATTAAGCTATTGGGGTTTAGCCCCTCGACCCTACTGGTCTCTGTTTATTTACCGTACCCCCTGTCAGAGGGTTAGGCTCCCAGATTCTGTATCCTAGATGCACCACTGTTTTGGCCTACATGAAATATAACCAAGGCTTGCAAGCCTTAACATTAGTGGAGCTGTAGCTTGGTAGCTAAGATGCTTGCCTTTTAGTCTAACGGCCTCATAACCAAAACAACTTCACTTCCTAAGCTTCAATAATGAGAGTGTGGTATTTTTGTCTCGGGTAAGTTGTGAAAATACTCAAGTATAAGAAATTTGTTTTAAAATTGGAAGCATCAATCTAGCGAAGAGGAGTTGAACCCCAAACCTTTAGAATTAAAGAAAAATACTAATGCCACTGTAAATTATTTTGCAATAATTGTTTGTAATATTTATTGCAATGTCACAAAACTACAGTACAATACTTTTTTTCTTTTTTTTTTTCATTCCAGAACATTTGCTGGACCAGTTCTGGGAGGTTTTCTTGTAGATAATCTTACCTTTAAATGGGCTGCTACAATATTTTCAGGTCTAAGTCTAGGACTGTGTGTTGTATTTACTATATTCAACCTGTGGGAATTTAGGTGTTTTAAAGGGTGAGTATACTAACTTATGTAAAAATATATCCATAAAAAAAGCTTAAACCAGCTACATTTATATTTTATTCACTACAGCTTATTTCAAATTTTACCTGGGTTAAGATGCTTGTCTTCCAATCCCAGGGTCCTGGGTTGAATTCCTGTCACGAGACATTATTTTTTCTCACGACCAAAAACAGCTCCACTCCCAAAGCCTCATAATAAGACTTAGTTTATGTAGAGCATCTTGTGCCACTTAAGCCAGACACTCACTGCCCACAACAGTCGTCGTCCGACGCCATTCTATAAAGAACGCAATGCGACGACGCGCACGCAACAGATCGTTTTTAATGACGATCCGTTCGGACTGCCACCGACAATCAGCAGACAGCGTCGCTCGTCTATCGCTCACAGAGAATGGAGTTGCATTTGTCATACGGCGGTCATATGAAGCAGTGAGTGCCTGGCCTTAGATTAAGTTCGCTGTTTAGCATATCCTTGATCTTGAGCCTACACCAATAAAAATAATAAATAACAATAATAGTGCAACATTTGTATAGCCATAGAGAAAGAAAATGTATGGTGTAGCGCATTATTGCAATAAACTGCCTCTATGCGCTTTACATGATTACCCCTCAGTCCCTGGATCAACACACATATGGAACACATCCTCAGCTCCCTGGAGAGCACAATTCCATAAGATGCTAGAATCAGTGCTTGGTATTAGATCCTACCAGGTACCCACTTATACCCTTGGGTGGAGACAGACAACCATAGGTAAAGTGCCTTGTCCAAGCACAAACACAAAATAAAATGCACAGCAAGGGGTATAAATTTAAGCATAAGAATCGTAATTTACATCAACATACGCTGTGTTAAAAATTGTTTGTTTTTTTTTATTTTGCAATAGACGAAGGCCTCCTTCAAGATCATCATCATCAGTTTTGATTGTGAGCGATGATGAGACCGCACCACTGCTTGGTGCGAAGAGTTAGTTGTGAGAATCACAGTAAAAATGAAAATAAATAAATGCTGGAGTTCATCTGGAGTGTCACAAAAACACCATTCATAATATTGTCATGCACACTATAAATACTAAGAGAGATAATATTATATTTTGTTCTTTATTCGAACATCATCAGGAATGATATTTGAAGAAATTCTAGTACTGTAGTCAACTACTTCTTGCTTTCAATCAAACTAAATTACAGACCAATCGGAGCAGGCTGGGAATATGTTCATGTTCCACAAACGCAGGTGTTGTCGAACATATGTATTCGCTATCGTTTTGTGGACCTTTGCTGGGGCATAGTGCTGGTTTCGGTGTGGGGGGGGGCTGTCTCTAGATTGCGCGAAAAATGAGAATGCAGAAATACAGTAAATCCCAGAATGCAGAACTAAATCGCTTACTTCAATGTATTGGTCATTTTTAGTGTTTTAACCCATTTAGTGCACCCACTAACCTACGCTCATGCTTAGCAGCAATACCCAAGAGGGAGAGGGGGTGGGCTTAAAAAGGTCCGTTCATAATGCATTTTTGTATATCATTTTTGTCAGCTGATATTGTTTGTGTTGTTTCCTCATCAAATGTGCAAATGCATAAATAAATTTAAAAGGAATAATTCCTAAAGAATGTTTTACCATGGAGAAAAGGACCTCCATGGTTAGGCTATACATAATAGTCTCTAGTAACCTTCCAATCTTTTAGATTCAAAACTTGTTGTAGATATAATTTCTCATTCAATTCTTATAGATGAGTGTTGTATGTTGATGTGCAGATTATAAATATTACCTTGTTTTTAATGAAGCATTCCAAAGTTCATGTGAATGCATACATCAAAGAATATGTATATAGTGATCTGAGGATGTGTGGAGATATTTAGGAAGACTGGGAGAGGAGAAAATTGTTGACTATGATACAATGTTATTTTGCTTGCTTGTAAAAATTTAAATTACTGGACTACTGTATTCCGGTTTGAAGATGACTGTCATTTGTAACCCACCTTTGCTGTATTTGAAAAAAAAAATAGTTTATTTCTGTTAAAATGTTATCAGTGATAAAAAGGTTTGTGATGACAATATTTTTCAGTACACTTGTGTTGGTATTATTCTATGCTGTGGCAGTGGAATTATTCTGTAAAATGGAATGTGTTTAGTTTTTCATTTCATTTGACAGTCATGCCAAGTACAGTGTGAATGTGGTTTTATCAGGGAGTTGGTAATTGGTCCTATGTTTTGACAGGTAACCAGTGGCTGATAATGGAATATGTTTATATTAATTTTGACGTAGTTTCTGCAGCACTGTCATGCTCCCATCAGGTTCCTACTTTTGGTTGGTGGACTGAGGAGCCAAGTAACACATTATATACCTACATTCCAGGGATCTAACATGACAGTAAATTTGTATATGATTTTGGGGCATAAATTCTTCAAATATTTACTTATAGCTTAAGTACTGTAGAGGTCTATGATGAGTAACACTGACATGTTTTCAGAGATAAATTTAATGAAATGTTATTGTAATAATGTTTTATATCAAGATATCATATTTTATGTTTTTTTGCCTAACCACTGATACAGTTTATACAGTAGTAAAAGATTTTATGTATAATACATACCATAAAATTGTTTACTTATATATTCAATAGTGATAATTATTTAAGGGTTATTAATTAAATATAATATATATTGTTGCTTGTATTTCAACTATACTACAGTACAGGAATTTAGCACTATGTAATTCCTGTGCTATTTTTATATAATATACAATTTAGCAAGTATGTATTAATAAGGTCCACATAACTCAGGATTAATTTAATTACATTTAATATATATTAAAGTATGAATACTTAAAAGCCCATTTCATGGATACAATGTGCTGGAGAAACATATGAATTAATATGTTAGATATAAACTGCTATAGTATAATGTATAGCATTATACATTATGCTAACAATTCATGGATCAAATACCTATGAAACAGATTCCTGTGGAGAATTCCATAATAGGGAGTTTTTGCAAGTTTATGAAAATGATAACAATATGGTTGTCATCAATTGTTTAGACAACTCTTCCCCTATAGTAAATAATAATAGATAATAATAATTTATTTGAACATACACTTTTGTAACAGTAACACACTTCAAAATGACGGTGCATTGAAAAATAAATTCAAATTAACTAAAAACAATTAAGTAATTGACCAAAAGTAAAGGAGATAAAAAAGCAAAAGTTTGAAAAAAAAAATTATAAAGGCCAAAAATGAAAATAATAGCAATGAGATCATTTTGTAACATTGACATATAAAATAGACCTGTCTCTTATCCACATCTAGATGTGTATAAGAGACA